TGCTTTTCAACCAAGCACTGTATGTGTTTTAAAGATTTTTTTTTAGCTTGTTAAAAAAAACACAGGCCAAAAAAAACCATATAAGCTCTCTCAACATGCACAGGTGCGATCATTGTCTATAGGGATGTTACAGCACCCCCAAAAATGGGCTAGAGTAGACAAATCACTGGGTAGCAGCATACATGCGAACCATTCCACTCAGAAAGTCCAAACATGGGCTTAGTTTGCGAGCCCCTTAAACGAGGCTGTTTTGCGCGTTTCTGAGGTCAGGTGACAAGACATTTCTGAGTTTTATGACATGACATTTTTTTCATTACTTCTTTGTGGACAGTGTGGGACCAAAAACAGAATGCATTGAGATTTAATTACGCTTAAAGTGACGTGCGCTAAAATAAACACAACAAACGAGGGCTGATTTGATTATTTTCACAAATCTCTATTCAATGGTATGGTCTATTTTGATATATAGGTGCTTTGAATTGCCAGTGTAACTTGGATGTAACTTGATATGATAACAGGTTTTGGACAGGTGTGACACTAGATTGGCCACCATGTGCATGCCTGATGTTGCTCCCCATGTTCCAAGGCATGCTGAGGGAATTCCTTTGAATGCTCAGATGCATGTAAAATTAGAAGGAACATAAGTTCTGATATAGAAAGGACTGAAAAGGGATAGGCATTAGTAGGTGAGTTGCTCGGTTTGTTTGTCTTGGTCTTAGTACCCCAATCGAAATAGAAACGGTATTCAAACCATTGATACAGACTCACAAGGACACAAGCAGGCACCAACAGTTGAGCGAGAGAGAGAGATGTAGGATTCTGGGACAGCCGAAAGAGCTCTTGCAGAAAAGACGACTTCCTCTGTTGCCATGACAACTGCCTCCATGCAAGCGCTCGCTGGGTCTCATGCTCTCATCACTACTTGCACCCACGCACACACACACACACACACACACATACACACACACAAAATTGAGAGACATGCTGAAACTCCCACACTGCCTGGCAACTTACCTCTCGTCCACCCACCCACCTTCTCTCGCTCTTTCCACAGTCCCCCATCTTTCGATACATGTTTGTTTGGCACAGTTATGTGACATGTTAAACATAAGGCAAAATTTACACATATACAGTATACGACTTGCTTTTTAAAATGCAATCCATTTCTCTTTTGTGCATTTCTGATGTCTAGATTTTGCACAGTTTGCTTGTGCGTGTCACAAAAGCGAAATCGCAAATGCCCAGTGGGAATGATTTGACTTTAAGAATATAACAAACGGCACAAGGTCACATGGCGATGCAAATTGCACTCACACATTGTTGTGTGCACATCCACAGTTTGCACATGAGGGAATTATGGCATGTAGCCTTTTGCCCGGCAAGCCAGGGAGTTAGCAAACTTTATGTGAACACAGCACCCACCAAAACAAACACACACAGCCATGACCCAAAAGAACCACAGCTCGGGGATGAAGCAAGCCAGTCCCAAACAGTGACAGGCTATCTGGAAAGAGACGAAAATGTTGAACAGGTTTGCAGTGACGTAATCGCAAAAGGCGGTCTCTGTGACACTGCGACTGGCTCAATAAGGTGAATGTCAAAGGCTGCTGATGCTGTAAAACCAAACAAAACACAATTTGGAGACAGGAAAGAGGAAAGGTTTGTCACAGGAAAACACATTGTTGTTTGGATGAAAATAAGAATTGGATATATGTTACTTGTACAGCGGAACCCATGCATATTCATAAAGTCTGTCTGATAGTTACATTTTCTTTTTTGATGATCTCACATACTAACTAACCTGCCTTTCACCCAAAGTCAGCCGAGATAGAATCCGGCTCACCCACAGCCGCAGTGAGTTCAAGTGCTGTGGAAAATGGATGGATGGATGGATGGATGGATGGATGGATGGATGGATGGATGGATGGATGGATGGATGGATGGATGGATGGATGGATGGATGGATGGGTGGGGACACATAAAGTTGGTTAAGCCGTTTCAGACAAATCTGTTTTGGAATTTATCTTACACTGATCGGCCACCACGTCCCAGAGTATTAAAACAAAAGAGACACGCAAATATAATGGAGACAATACCCTCACAGATCCAGCGATCAAAGTTGGGAGAGGCGTAGCTATTTTCATTCAAGCAGAAGATCCCTGGACTCCGATTATTGATTCTCATTTATTTTGTGTTTAATTCACAGGCAGAGTAGTCCCGCCACAGCCGCTACTTCTCACTGACTTTATCGACCACTTCATTCTTCTTCTGAGCTCAAGTTGTGTGTATTTTGTCTTGGGCAAATCCACACTGCACACCTCATAGCATTTTATAGGTAACAGCTACAGAATCAGTGCGGTGAGTTGAGTATTCCTTATCTCCCAATACTTTTTTTTTTTTCATTTGAGTGAGCGAGTACAACTGGAAATACCATCGCAGTGTCGGATTTAAAAAGAATCCATTCACCTGTTCGGAAAACGAGTGATAAACGACAGCATTAAAATCAAACTTAGTCACGGCGCGGCTTCCGCGTGCAGAAACAAATGACAGCCGAGTCGTTCTGAGAAATGCAGCTGTGCGTTTCAAAGAAGTCCGGAAAACAGCCTGTGTGTGCGAGGCTTTACGTGAGCATGAGGTCACATGCCGCTTAAGGAGTCTTGTGATTTAAATTCCATGTTAGGACGCCTCCTTCATTCTCTCTGTTTCACTTTCTTGTCTGTTGAGGTTTGTTGCTTAGGAGACCAGATGAGAACAGAGAAATGAATCCAGGAAATCCTCTGATAATGTGCAAGTGTGCGCACTTGCATGTGCGCGCCTGTGTGAGGGTTTGGCTTCTGACATGTTGCTGAAGAAAATTACAATCACAACTCACGTGAAAGCTATACGCTCTTGCTTCTCTGTACCCTTATGTTGCCTCCACCAGGCAGGTGGTGAAAGGTGAAGATAGCGAGCGGTTTCAGCTGTTTTGTGTGTCGGCCTATCTCACCTGTTTTTGTGGTGAACGGAAGTAACGTGCTATTTTTAGTTTGTGTCAGCAGACACTATTTAGGTACATTGTTGTACAGAAGTCGATGGTTTGAATCCAGGCTCCAGCCTTCCAAAGTGGAGTTTGCATATTCTCCCCGTGCCTGTGTGGGTTTTCTCCGGGTATTCCGCTTTCCTCCCACATTCCAAAAACATGCGTGGTAGGTTAATAGAACACTTGAAAGATTTTCATATGGTTATTTTTAGGTTAAATTGCTTTAATGGTGATCATATGAAAACAAAAATATGCTTGAAATGAAGAGACAGGCAGACAGGAAAGTTGTGGTTTATTCTTGGTGCTAACTGGACACATCTTTGGTTCCATAATTTGTCGGTATGTACAGTACAGTATTTACACAGCGAGGGATCGGCGGTTCCCGCTCAGTGTTTGTATCTATATGTGCCCTGCGACTGACTGGCGACCAGTTCAGGGTGTAGTCTGCCTTCCACCTGAAGTCAATTGGGATTGGCTCCGGCAACTCCCCACGATGCCTGTTCAGGGTAAACGGTGTTGAAAATGGATGGATGGATGGATATACTGTATATATGAAACCAGCAGGTCCAAATAAAAATACATTTAATGTGCTTATCTTGCAACAATGTGTTTGTTATTACATTTTGGAAGCATGTTCAAATCTATCTTAAGTATAAAAATACTATACATGTTTTCATATCCTCTAATTGCATATATAAATAAACTATTTAGTAAGCATGAATATTACATTTTGAAAAGAGTATTGTAATTACACGTTATTTTGGGGGGGGCAGGGGGGGTTGATGAACGGTTATGTGAGAATATACTGTGTGACTTATTAGGGCTGTGCACATAAATTTTGGAAATATGTTTAAATTTGTATAAAAATATTATACTGGTTAATGTTTTCATATCCTCTGCTCTTGCATTTATAAATAAAATGTTTTGGAAGCATGAAATTTTACATTTTGAACAGGGCATTATCTTAGCCATTTGCTGTACCCGTGCCTGCGTGGGTTTTCTCCGGGTATTCCGGATTCCTTCCACATTCTAAAAACATGCATGGTAGGTTAAAAGACCGCTTCAAATTGTCTCTAGGTGTGATTGTGAGTTTGAATTGTTGTTTGTCTCTGTGTGACCTGTGATTGGCTGGCATCATCAGGGTGCCGCCCACCTACTGCCCGAAGACGGCTGGGATAGGCTCCAGCACGCCACAGTAAGTTGATGTGGAAACATATCCGAGCGTACACGTTGGCGTACGCTCGGATATGTTTTCAAAATAGAGGCTTGGTAAAACACTTTGGACAAAATATGGTGTCGATCAGCGGTGCCAAACTCATTTTTGTCATTGGCCACGTCATAGTTATGGTTTTCCTCGGAGGGCTGTTATGACTGTTAACCTACATAAAATGTATGATCACCTTATATTGTCACATATACACAACGAATTGATGGGTAACTAGTTTTGAAATCAAAAGCCAGTACATTGTTCGTTCAACTATTTTTCAATGTATTTTAAAGGACGGATGGGTAATTTTTTTGAATTATTTCTTTATTTTTATTTTTGCAATATTGCATATCTCACTGTAACAAGACAATTTGCAAGACACAAAGTAGACACACATGATTTGCCTTCATGGGCCACATAAAATGTCGCGGGATCTGGATCACGGGCCCCAATTTTGACATCTGTGGTGTAGATAAAGTGCTGTAAAGTGTACCCCATTGACCAAAGTTTTCAAATTGGACTTTTTTTTTCCTTTGGACAATGATGTGTTTTTATCAAAAGTAGAATTAGTAAACCTATTTGAGTTGATTTGGAACTCGTTTGTTGAACGAATCCCCAACGCTCTGGCTATGAGTCCGAGATCTACTTATTTTCAACTGCAGTTTTTTTTTTTTTTTGCGGAGGAGAGCTGCTTGGCATAATTGCAAAGGAGATAAAGAACACTCTCTGTTTATAGTCAGTAGAAAACGGACACAAAAGAGAAGAAATAAAAAAAAATGAGTGAAGCAAACCAAAGAGTGGGCGAGAGACTGCGATGCAAAGGTCATAAGGGGTGACAGCCAACATGTATTGAAGATCTGAACCTTGAACAGAGATATTCCACCTCTGAACATGTTCATAGACTAATCGCATCTCCATGGTTACAGAAGTTGGAGTGCTAAAGATGCGGGGGACCTTGTTTTTGACAGGAACACGCATCCTCGTCTATTGTTCTCAACCTTTTCTTCTGTCCGCTCATTCCTTCGGCTCTTGCCTTCCTCGAGCCAAAATGAACCGTCGGAGGAGAAAAACATCCTCTCTAAAAATCAACAAGCTCTACCTCTGCGCACGGTCCAACTTTGCGCGGAATGACATACACAAGGACGCCCACGCGTCGAGAGCCATTACTGCGATCTAAAGCAGGAGGTGCATGTCCCGCCTTTGTCCGTCTCTAATTGGGGGGTGATGGTGTCGTGGACCTCCGACTGGAGCATGTCGTTCTCACTGGTAATGATGTGTTTCACCAAGCAGTTAGCCGCCTCGTCAATGTTGATGTTTTCCTAAGCGTGAAAATAGAAAGGGGGGGAAATGACACAATATCAATGCAAAATAATTGAATTGAAAAATGTTTTCCTCCACTATGTTTGGCTTTGCATGTGTACAGCGGGATTTGTCTCCATGCTAAGTACAGCTTAGCCTTTGCCTCTTTCTAAATTCTAAAGTGAAGGTATCACTATATTATGATATACTGAAATATATTTATATTAGGACTATGCTTCGTAGGATCTCATTAGATTGTGCAGATGTGCCAACTGTTGCGGGTGTCAAAGCGTGTGCATGTCTACGTGCATGTCTTGTTCTATTTTCCTCCCTTCCCACCTGGCTGTGACATTCCCGCATCACATCACTCATGACACGCGAGGCCTTTAAGGTTGGGTCATTGTGTCGCTTTAAGTCACACATGCCACACAAGTCAACATTTTTGTCCGGAGTCAACATGACTCCTAGCTTCCCGAGAAGATATTTGAGCAGAAGACATTGATCATTGGGTGACTAAATCAATCAAACTGCCTTGTCTTATACTCTTATATAAGTAGTTCGGGTAGCACAGCTAGACTAAATTGATGGGATTCAGCTCCTCCCAACACAATTTAAAGCACATCTGATCGATTATAATGTAACTTGGCAAAGGCACAGCAGAGGTCCATGAATGATCCTCTTTTAAAATGCAACTGAGGAGTTGACTGGAATAACTAATAACATCCGAATGAATGCATAGAGGAGTACAATGCGCTACCTTTGTCCCCAGCGGCCCGATTAACCTACTTAGAGATCGTATCTGCACAAAAACATAATTTGTGGGAACTAAAATGGACTTGATTTTAACCCTTAGGGCCCTCTTTCTGTATTGAGAAGTCTAGCGCTAGGTACAGTCTAACTGTGCGTATGGATGAAGTTTTCAGCCAGGTCATTCATACTGTACATGTATTATTAGTTGTAAAAATACAAGTAAAAATGTTAGTTTTTGTTGATGACAATGTCACTTATTGTTAATTATTAGTCTGAATTTCTTGAAACTTTTAATGGAAGCTTGGCTTTTTCATCTGATTTGTATTTCATGTTATTGTATTTCATTCACAAATTTCATCTGTGCTGTATTTGACAATAAAGTTGGATTTGACTTGACTGGACTTGGCTTTTTATCATTAGTTAGAATAGATTTGTTTATAATTAGTTCGTGTTTGGGTGGCGCGGTGATCGATTGGTTAGCACGTCCACCTCAGAGTGCAGAGAGGTCCAGGATTTGATTCGGGGCTTTGGCCTTCCTTTGTGGTGTTTGTATGTTCTCCCCATGCCAGTGTGGTTTTTCTCCGGGTACTTCTGTTTCCTCCCACATTTCAAAAACATGCACTGTCGGTTAATTGTTTGCTCTAAATTGTGTGTGTGATTGTGAGTGTGAATAGTTCACTGTTCTCGGTCTCATTGTTTAAAGTACAGTAGTTGTATCAGTTGGTCTTAAAAACTAAAATATTTCATTTTCTATGTGACAGTGAGAGTGAAACTGCAGAACTCCCAAAGCACACACTTATGCGAGATACTACAATGTTACAGTTTTTCAAAAGGGCAGGTTGGAAGGGGCTATAGAATTTGAGGCAGATTTAGACCATTTATACCCGCCCGTTGCAGGTGAATAGCAAGTGTGTGTGTGTGTGTGTGTGTGTGTGTGTGTGTGTGTGTGTGTGTGTGTGTGTGTGTGTGTGTGTTTTACCTTAGCAGATGTCTCAAACCATCCCACAAAGCCATTCTCCTGGCAGAACTGCTCCATCTTTATTCCATTATTGGTGAGTACATCCCGTCCCTGGTCACATTTGTTTGCCAGGAGCACCGTGGCCACATGGTTCCCATTGGCCAGTGTCACTTTGGAGTCTAAGTCCTCCTTCCATTTGGTGACTGCCTCGAAGGAGGCGGGCCTCGTCACGTCAAACACAATGAAGGCGCCCATTGCCTCGCGGTAATATACGCGGGTCATGTTGCCAAATCTCTCTTGACCTATAAAAGACAGAATGATGGCATTTACATGGGAAACGCATCCTTACTGACGAAATTTTCTAGTTAAGAAATTTCTTCCAGAACCAACTGATTTCGTAAGTAGAGGTATCACGGTAATTGCTTGATGATATTTTTTATCAATTAAAGTGGATGAATATCAAAGAGGCTTTTCTCTTGCATCCTTCACATTTTCTGTATGTGAAAATTTTTTCGAAAGGAGTATCCCGCCAAAGTGAAGGGCCTCATTACAATGAGATCTCACTAGTTTTTATACAACTAATTGAGTAAACTTCTAAAAGACTTGGCAGAATGTTTACAGTTCTTTCTAAAAGGGCCACAATAAACACTCTTGGAATAAACGGGCTGGGCCTCAAATCTGGCTCACATGAGGCACAGACACATGACTGCTTGTGCTTAGTGGAGAAAGCGCAGCGCAGAACTGTGAGCAGCAGGCAACTTCAGCGACTCTCACATGAGATGATCCTGCGATTGGAATGTTTGGTTCTGCCATCATTCATTATCTGAACAACTCAAATCAAACATCAAGAACCAAGGACTTCACTATTTGATTGTGCTCGTATTATTGTACCGGTAATCGTTAGAGAGCTGCTGTGTGAAAAACGAAAATGAAGAGCTCAAAGCAAGATTAAACATTTAAAAGAAAAATAATAGGACTGAAATCAAGCATTGAAATTGACAAACACTGTTTCACACTTTCATAGTATCTCATTGGAGATTTGTTGGCAGAAACTGATAACTTTGCAGAGGTCTCTTTCCAGAGCTCGAGATAAATTGTTGTTTTTTTTTTTCTCCACACAGGAGATGCCACTCATGTGTGAAACAACTGCAAACATGCAAGGTGAGAGAAACGGTCACATGTTTCCATCACATGTGCAGCATGCTTCCAGAAACAGTAATGTCATTTGCGAATGCTGTACTATAATGAGGGGAAAAAGCTTCTGCAAAAACTCCCAAGCCGAGCAGGCCACTTATGGTTTAACATGGATTTAATTTGAAATCAAAGTCTCCGAGCAATACTGTCATGGTTGATGAAAAAGGGGGGAAAAAAAAAACCTTATTGTGGTCCCCCAAATAAACCCAACAACAATTGCAGTATTCACATAAATTCCCCCCTTTGCTTTGTTAATATCATTAGTCAAGTTATTTTAAGTAAGCATGCTTGCAAATCACTTTCTTTTATGGCACTTCATCAGATATTCCATTGCTGAGATTCTACAGTCTAAACCAGGGGTCCCCAACCTTTTTTGCCCCACGGACCGGTTTATGTCAGACAATATTTTCAGGGACCGGCATTTAAGGTGTGGCGGAAATAATACAACAAAATAATATGGTATGAGCTGCATGAAAACTGTGGTGTTTTCGAAATATAATAATAAACACAAGGAGCGTCTAATCTGGCCGCAACACTCTGATCGCTATGGT